TGGGAGTCCTCAACCAGCACACGCTGCCAGCAGGACCGAGCCACTAAGCCCTGTGCTCAAATCACCTCACGAGCATGCTAGGAGAGGAAAAAAAAAACAAGAATATTTCCAAGTCAGGCAGGGTGGTGGCAACACACAGAAGTGGTATGGGACAGAGCCTGGTTTCTGGACGCAGGGAACAATAACCCTGATTGTGTGATGTGGGAGTGCCCAGGAGAAGATGTTCTCATCTCCTGGGGAGGGTGATACCAGCCCCACTGGCTGCTTGACGCAGCATTGGCTGTCAGTCCATCCGTTCAGAAGTGCTGGCTTCAGCTGCCCGATTCAAGTAAGGTGTGATGTGAGCGCGTTTGTCTTGACACAGATTGCAGGGTGGGAGTGGGGAGCTGTGTGCATGGAAGTGGATGTGGGTTCTAAAGTGGAAATTCAGTGGGGAATAGAGACTTTCATGTTATGCAAAAAAAAGGGCTGGGCCCGTGTATCAGAATCAAATGCTAGGAAGTCATTAAGACCTGTCTGTCATTCTGTGCTTCAGTAAGGTGTCAGGATGATAAGGAGGACACAGAGACAAAAGGACTTGCCAAACAGGAAAAGGATACTTGACCCAACAAGTCTGCGCTTTGTGAGACCCACTTTCCTGCTTTGTCATACCTCTTACTAACAAGTACATATTCACTCCTCAAAATTCATGGGTAGTATGTAGCTATTCTGAAGCCCCGGCTGTAGTTCCACCTTATTCATGTGCTCAAACATTTTCTGCTGAAATAGTGATGCCCACGGTCTTTTCTCTGTTCTTATTGGTCTCCTTTTGGGAACATTATTTCTGGATTTTAAATTCAGCTTGCTATACACTTGTCCATTTTGGGACAGTGCATAAGCATGGGTCCCTCAGGAACGCTCATGCAATTGCTAGTGGATACATACCTAGGTATAGGGATGTATTCAAATACAGAGTGGAATATGGCCTTGAAATAGCACTGCATGTAAAATCAGTAGACATCTGATATTTACCTGAAATCATCTGGTCTGTTGTAGGCCACTTTCGCTTGGGCTCCATCTCTCCTTTCCACTGCCCCCGTCTTGCCTTGTGTTTAACACAGTCCTTGCTTGGTTCCTGTGGAACCCAAGGAGGCTGTGAAGCTGCTCAAGCACAACTAAGGTCGAAGCACAAAATGGGTTTTGAAGGACCTTTGTCTGAAGGAATATGCAGATGAACTGTGAGCAAGCTCCTCTATGAAGAGATGTAGCATCCACTTCCTGCAATCAAAGTTTCCTTTTTAGAGCATCCCAGGATGGATACCCAGAATCACTTTCATTTTTTTAAATTCTGATTTTATTTCCTTTCCTTATCAAAGATAGGCAAATTTCTGTTGTTTCAGTCAGGGAATCGCATCTGTGCAATTCCAAAATGCCAGACCAAAATCCAATCCACAGCAAGAAAGCAAAGAAAAGCAGTGAGGGAACTGAAACGGACTGATGGCACATGTCCCCTCCCGTCACCCGCACCAAGACCGCTGAAGGCAGGAAAGCCTCAGGTTGACATTTGGGAAGGAGGCTTAGCCAGATCAGTTAACAGGAATTCTGCCGCTGAATCCTGGCTGACACAGAAAATCTGATGATCAGATTCTCATGTCTTACTTGGAAACGTTTCTGCCTGTCTGTCTGTCTCTAAAATTTAACATGGTATTCTGGAAAGTGAAAATAAATATCATTTAATCTTGTGTACAGTCAGTTCTGACAGTGCCAATACATTCATTTGAAAACACATTTGTTTTCTTCAGTTAGTGATCCCTGGGGTCAAGGCCTCCCATTGAAAAGCTTAGCTGTACTGAAGAAGAAACCTTGAAATGTGAGACTGTCTTCTGGTCAGACTAAGCAGACCCTTTGAATGCCTTGACTCTAAATCTCTTCACTCTGCTTTTGACTGCTTTGGGGCCCCCTGGTACTTACTGGCCTTGGGAATTGTTCCTGCTAATGCTTCTAATGCCTGTCTCTCTCCTTCCCTCCTTGTGTCTTGTCAACTACAAACCTATCGGTATCATTTCTTTCTGCTTGTATTGAATTCCTATCAGTTTCTTTTCTGACCATTTTTTTCTTTGGAGACTCTATCTTGCTGCAAGGATTGGGGAAAAATGATTACTTCTGCCTTTCTTAAAATCAGCCTTTTTCACAGGAGCTTCATGGCAAGTTTGCTTTTTATACTGAACTTGATAAACTATGAAAGATGCTTTCACGCATTTTGCAGGGTTTTTTTAGCACATGGCTACTAAGGTCATACTTTACACTCATTGCTGCCCTAGGCATGTAAAGATAAGTTTCCACTACAGTTTACTTACCTGTAAAATGTAAGTACTTCAGAAATTATCTTGCTAGTCTTTTCTACTTTTGTTACAATCAGAATGTTCGTATTGTAGATAGGCAACTTTGTCTGTACTTGAATTTAAATAATCTATTTGATATTCACAAAAATAACACTACAATTAGTTTTAAATTTCTTTTAAAAGTTAAAACCAAAATTCAATGAGCCACGTCAGTCAGTTGGAAACAAGCAGCCCTGCAGCACAGGATGTCAGAAGCATCAAGTCTCTCAACCCCTGAAGTTGGGTAATTTTTAGAGAATTAGAGCCTGTCTTTAATTTTCTTATCTTTCAGCAAGATAATTGCTATTAATTTGTATGCAGAAATTTCCCTCCAAGAATTGCGCAATTGCTTCTAATCAAATTATGCCCATTAAGGTGTTTGAGTAAAATTGCCTCTATTATTTTCGCATGGGAGATATTAAGCTAACAGTTCTATAGGAGCTTCCTTCATTTCACTGACCTTTCCTGCAACAATGAAGATTAATTCCAGGTCTTACTGGTCTGTCCTGTCATCACAGGACTTAAGATGTATATATCTCCTAGTTAGGATTTTATGTTACTTTTTAAAAGGGGGGGAAAAAAAGAAACCTTTCAACCATATGTAAATGTTGTTTTTTCTCTGAATCTAATGCTTTGCCTGCGTTACAGGGAATTCTTCCCCTTCCCTCCCACCTGTTTCTGCAGTTGTCCTACAGCTTCCCTAGGATAGCACCTGCAGGTTGTATTTGTGCATCACATTTGTTATGGGCTGGCATGGCTGTAACTCTGAGGATGTACATACATCAATGCAAATTTCCTTCCTTTAAGCAAGCACTGGAAACTCTGTCACAATGTGTTGCTAATATTTAAGCAGTCATCTAGCCTCTTATTATTATTCTTCAAAGAAAAAAGGGCATGCTAACTTGCTAACTTCTTCCTTTTGTTATAAGCCTTAAGCAATTAAGCATTTTTCTCCCAGTCCTTTCTGGCACTGATGTAAATGAAACTCCATGTAATCATTAGGAGAAAAAACTCATGTCAGTGTCAAAAGATACTTTGTTCTCCTGGAAATATTTCTTTAAAACTGCTCTTTCTAACTCAAAAGAAGTTCTGTATCCCTCCTTACCAGGTTGTTTACTTTTCAAAGGATTGTTTGTTGTATCTAAATATCTACAGATGTACATATAAAAAAGAAATTTCCCAGGTCATCTATGTGTTGCTTACACTAAACTTTTATATCTCTACTTCACTGCATTTGGCCTCAGTTGCCCTTTTTCCTCCTTGGAATTAAGCAGGATGGCTTTAAATTTCAGTCTCTTCAGATGTTTTTTAAAAATTCAGCTCTACATTTCCCATGTTTCATAGGATTCCAGTAAAAATTCCTTGGGGCATATCACATTCTCCCAAAGTCAGCTTTCTTAAAGTCAAAAACATTTCTGAACTCCTCTAAGTGTTCCTGCCCTAAAGAGCATTTAGAGTCTAATGAAATCATGATCACAAAACATAAATGCCCCGCACTTCCACTTCAGTTTTCATATAAGCTTCATTTCCTACTCTTAAGTTCAGAGCTGCCTGTGACTGTAAACTGTTCAGATGTCTACACAAGGAAACACGTGCTTCCCTTCCTCAAGGATCTTTTTGCTCATCAGTGTCAGTATGTGGCCTGTATTCATACTCATGAAAATGAAATGGGAGCATTCAAGGAAGAATAATCTTCAGATGATTTTCCTATTTGCCTCACTTGCAGCCAGGTAAAGAAGTTGCAGGTTGTCATAATTCTGACAGTCTTCTCTCATCTGTTTTTTTTTTTCCTCCTTGCTCTGAAAATGTATGTCAACATCTGAAAACTACTCCTTGGTAAATTATTACCTCTGTTGTCCTTAATTCTCCTCCAAGCTGACTTTGCTGCTGTGTCAGCCAAAATGTTTATATCTTTCCTTACTTCAAACTCAACATTATCTCTGCATTGCTTTCCTACCCTCTTCCTTTTATTTCATCCCTCCTGCT